CATTGTGGACTGAATTTCAACCGCTTCCTTCTGGACGGAGATTTAAACTCGCTTTGTGCAAGTCAAATAGATACAAGAATATTTCATACCTGCTGCAATCATGTTTTTAAATGACTCTATAATATGTGTGTTTTGCTGCTGTATGTGTATGTATTGTATACTGCTGTCTACATAAAGAATTGCCTTTAAGGACAATAAAGATAAGGATAAAGATGAAGATAAGCATACGTTTACCGTATTTGATGTGCTCTATGGGTTACAGTATTCAAGTTTAAACAGGTTATAACAGTATCAGAGTAGGTAGTAGGAGTAGTACACTCTCCAAAAGCTAATTCTAAACTTGAAAATTAATTTATTTCTAGTTATTTTAACTACAAATTTAAATAATGACGAGGAAAATATAATGACGAGGAAATTATACATGTACACACCTAAGGATTATATCAACCAAAAATTAAGAATTTATGTGCAGCGCATTCAGTGGTGTGTCAGAGTTGATTGCCTGTGTGGAAAGTAACTGCGCATGCGTCCTCTACTTGGGTTCTTCTCATAAACGAGTAAACGGCATTTAAAACAATAAACATATAATACGCACTGTTGCTCAATATTTAATACGATACGATACGATACGATACACTTTATTGTCAGACTGAGTCTGAAATTTGTCTTACGTTACAGCAGGTTCACTCAAGGTTACAATACTTTATCACATAAACAACAGAATGCAGAGCTTTCACACATACAAAAAAAAAAATAATAATAAAAAAAAAGGGACATTTACTTTTATATGAGTTATTCAGCGCTAATACAGCTTGATGTACAAATGAATTCTTTAACTTAATTCGGCTGTATCTTGGGACCTTATATCGTCGATTAGATGGCAACAATACAAATTCATTATACAACACATGATTAGGTTCAGAAACAATGTTATTAGCTAATCTTACAAGATTATTATGGTAAGATAGTTCACACACATACAAAAAAAAAAAAATAAATAAAAAAAAAGGGACATTTACTTTTATATGAGTTATTCAGCGCTAATACAGCTTGATGTACAAATGAATTCTTTAACTTAATTCGGCTGTATCTTGGGACCTTATATCGTCGATTAGATGGCAACAATACAAATTCATTATACAACACATGATTAGGTTCAGAAACAATGTTATTAGCTAATCTTACAAGATTATTATGGTAAGATAGTTCATATGCTTTTTGAAGTGGCTGACCCACAATTTTGGAGCAAATTTTTAGTAAGTTCATTAGCTTTGTTTTTACTAACTAACTAACAGATAGACTCATATACCAAACCGAATTACAGTACTGCAAGACACTCATGATTACAGACATAAAAAACAATAAAAAAATCTGCTTTCTTGCTCCAAATGACCTCAATCTACGGAGAAAGTAGATTCTTTGCATTGATTTTTTACAGATACTATCTATATGATCTCTCCATGATAGTGTTTTGTCTATCCATACTCCTAGGTACCTATATGCTTCTACTTGTTTGATGTTCTCTTCATGTATAACAACAGGTGTTGTATGAATGTCAGCAACAGGCCTTGATTTCTTCAGCAATGTAGAATTACAGACAGTATATAGCCTATAGGCAATGTGTGTGGTCCTCGATAACAAATCTTTACTGTAAACACACAAATATTCAGTCTTTGTGAAACGTTCAAACATCCGTAGTCATTTTGGGTGCAACAGGGCCCCACAAACACTATTTGGCATCCAAACCTTGTGGGTTTATTGCTTTGTCCTCACCCAACGACCTAATGATTAAGTCAGAGAAAGCATGGCGCTTCCACTTTTAGCCTATGATGTGATAACAAGCCGGCGGTAATGTAAATGTGCGTGAGTATTGAATGCAACAGCCTCTGTCTGTCTGTCTATTGTCTGCCCTCTGAAATGCTCTTTTAATTGGTGCCGCAGCACTTTGATCATGCTCAGAGATTAAGTGAAGCTTGAGACCTATTATTCCAGAAGGAGTACACATGAAAAGAAACCCTACTGAGAATTTCCAGACCAGTGCATTATGGGATAGCATAGTTTCACAATTTATTTGTTATAAATGATACTGTGACTTCATAAACAGGACATATGGCAGAGAATGGGCCCTTTTCTGTCATTTATAATCTGTAGTAATTGTTACAAAATAGAAGGGATGTTGGGCTGTTGAGCCTAACCAATTTTTTTTTTTTATCCGGCATCATATCTATGCAAAAAGACCATGAAGTGTTGTATAATCAGCATTATACATGACCATCACCCTCCTAAGGTGGCAGTAAAGGTGTAAGTGAAAAATATAAAGTTGTGAAATACAGTATAACGGTTTTTTTTACGATACGATATGATACGATACACTTTATTGTCAGACTGAGTCTGAAATTTGTCTTACGTTACAGCAGGTTCACTCAAGGTTACAATACTTTATCACATAAACAACACAGAATGCAGAGCTTTCACACACACATAAAAAAAAAAGGACATTTACTTTTTATATGAGTTATTCAGCGCTAATACATCTTGATATACAAATGAATTCTTTAACTTAATTCGGCTGTATCTTGGGACCTTATATCGTCGATTAGATGGCAACAATACAAATTCATTATACAACACATGATTAGGTTCAGAAACAATGTTATTAGCTAATCTTACAAGATTATTATGGTAAGATAGTTCATATGCTTTTTGAAGTGGCTGACCCACAATTTTGGAGCAAATTTTTAGTAAGTTCATTAGCTTTGTTTTTAGACTAACAGATAGACTCATATACCAAACCGAATTACAGTACTGCAAGACACTCATGATTACAGACATAAAAAAACAATAAAAGAATCTGCTTTGTTGCTCCAAATGACCTCAATCTACGAAGAAAGTAAATTCTTTGCATTGATTTTTTACAGATACTATCTATATGATCTCTCCATGATAGTGTTTTGTCTATCCATACTCCTAGGTACCTATATGCTTCTACTTGTTTGATGTTCTCTTCATGTATAACAACAGGTGTTGTATGAATGTCAGCAACAGGCCTTAGTACTATCTCCTCAGTTTTTTTTAAATTAATACTGAGGGCATTGTTGTCACACCATTCGACCAATTTGTTTACCCCCTGTTGATGCTGTTCTAAGCACTCTTGGTTATTCAATAACGATATTAACACAGTATCATCGGAGTACTTTAAAATATATTGGTCATTCCTGTTTACTCGACAGTCATCTGTATACAGAGTAAATAACATAGCAGAGCTTACACAACCCTGAGGTACACCAACATTTGTTTTTACTTCTGTTGACAGGACATTGTTCACTTTAACCCTTTGGGTTCTATTGGTGAGAAAAGAGAGGTACCATTTAATTAAGTATGGGTTCACGTCTAACTGTATTAGTTTAGACACAAGGGTGTTAACTTGATATTGAATAACAGCTTCAGATGCTTCAGATGCATTACATTTTAGGGGTCCCTTGGCTTTTGGGGGCCCAAGGCGGTCACCGACCTTTGCCCAATGGTTAAGCCCGCCTCTGACTACAAAACAAATTTTATATAAAAAATGCTAGTGTTTTTAAGTACATGTAGTCTAGTCTTTAACTTTAGTTTACAACAAAAATAACTAAAAACGTGTGTAAAGAAAATGTAAAATTGAATTAAAAATATAAACATTATTTCTGGTAAATGTAATACATTGCTAAAATTAAAAATGGTTAATTCATTTAAGTTGGCTTTTTTTTACTTGCATAGCACTTTTCACAATACACAAATCTGCTTTATAGAATATCAAGACGTTAATGTTTATATTATCTTAATATCTGTATGCCTTATAGTCATGTTTAGCAGCTCTGAGATGAGCAATAATATAGTTTGCTTTTTGTGACAATACAAGCAATCAAGCGGTTAAGATATATTATAGAATACAGTATCTCACAGAAGTGAGTACACCCCTCACATTTTTGTAAATATTTTATTATAGGTGTTAACCATATTTTCTACTGATTGAGATAGGAAATACTGCAGTATATTGACTTTTATTTTACTATTTTACTGTCATGATGAGTGAATATTGTCAAAAAATACCACACTAAATAGAGACTAAACACGACCCCTTTTAATACATGTTAACCAGGAGTCACTCTCATTTATAATCGCGGCATCGTCTGATAAAATCAACATGCATCTGCACTAAAGAGCGGCTATACGGTTGTTTTGGCTATATAAATTTTTTGTCTCATGCAGCACACTGCCTGCGTCCGAGTAACAAACTAAAAAAAACAACAAACAAAAAAGTGCATGTGATATTAACAGACGAACTACGCTCATATTTATAATTCCAAACAATCAGTAAGCGACAGGTGCTAGGAAACGCTGTTTTGTACTCATTTATTGACGAGTCGGCTGCGGTGCGGCCAACTGAATGCGCTGCTTCTCTGCCGCTCACTGCACAGAACAGACGCCGAGAGAGGTGACACTTCTCCGGGAAAGTCAGACCTCACGTTCGCGGGACAGCACTGGCGAAATCTTCCAACTGAACCATAGCTAAGGTTTATCCAAAAAAGTCGCTAGGTTTGTCAATATGAATATTCTATGGAAAAAACTTTACATTGTAGCAAAGTGTCATTTCTTCAGTGTTGTCACATGAAAAGATATAATAAAATATTTACAAAAATGTGAGGGGTGTACTCACTTCTGTGAGATACTGTATATATCGCCATACACAAGTATACTATACAGTATGTAAACAGGATGCAGATATAGTTCGACACACTTATACATTCAACTTTATAATAAAGCAATATTATGGATAGAGGACTCATATTTGTCCCCATTGGTGAGCAAGTGATGTAAATGCTAAATTTCTTAAAATCTGCTCCCATGAAAAAACAAACTCATCTTCATCTTGGATGACCTGAGTGTGAGCACATTTTTATTTTTTGGTGAACTATTCCTTTAAAGGGTTGTTCAATTTGACAGGGGTTGAGTTACCTTGACAATGCTGATGGGCTTCCTGGACAGATGGAAGCTTGTGTAGAGCAGGAACGTGAGTGCAAACGTGAAGGCCCTGTACCTGCGTGAACCAAACACAGCAAAGTTCAATGAGGACAAGGAAATAGGGACATTTTACAGTGAAATGTCCTCCTGTCGTGCTCTGTACCAGCACAGATTTAAATATTGGCTGCATTCCGAAACAAGCCGTATACGTATACTGGACGTATGCAGCTGGCATTAAACTGTGTGAGTGGGTAATTACATACCCACCCACTGTTCAGATACGCAAACAACTTTGCTTAACTAGCAAATAAATCAGAAATTAAAGGGAGCACGTCTTACTATTGCTTACCGTCATACTAAGAAGGGCAGAACAAGTCTTTTATCCATTGGAAGCCTACTATTATTTTACAGGCTAGTTTAGATCGGGTTTGGAAACAGCAGATGAAGTCTTTTTTTTCTGTCACACAAAGCTACTTGTACATAGCTACTGTACAGATTAAAAAGATTTAAAAGTAGTCTATACAACTGTGTTATAAGTGATGTAATGGTGTACATGATGTAATGTACAAAAAATTGCCTTTTTACTTTAAAGTGTATTTATAAACACCATGATAAAACAAGTGGCAAAAAGCATGATAAATCATAAATTCACTGTAAGCGGCCAGTTTATTAAACATCACCTATACTTGTGTATAGATGGAGCACAAGTCATACACACACAAAACATCATAAGGGTAACACAAAACAAAAAAATCAGTTAACAAAAATAAGAAACAATGCTAAAGGTATACGTCATATAAAATATGTTCTTTTAATTTTTTTTTCATAAACTATATGGCAATTCATAGTTTTTACTTGCAAAAAAAAAACATAAATCTGACAGTATTTTACATTAAATGGGCTAAATTCATTATATTTTACAGTATTTTATTTTATTTTTTACAGTGCACTGCATATGTGGTCTGTCTGGTTTAAAAGAGATTTCCTGTAATTCTACCTGCTAATGCAGCAGGGCAGAAGTTGTTATCATCTCTATCTTATTTAAGAGTTTATTTAAAACACATAGGAATTTAAACACACCTAGCCTAGTTTGTGTGTTGCTTTGAAGAAACTCACTAAAACAGATTTTTCACAATCTATATTGAAATGGTGTTGATGACGCAGGAATGCAATGGAATGTAAGCTCTGATTAAATACAGACAGGTGTTTATACACTCACATATGTATGTACATTGTACATGTGTACAGTGGGTACAGAAAAGAATTTGAGGGTATTTTGCCCCATCCATTTTTCCTTCTATCCTGACAAGTGCTCCAGTCCCTGCTGCAGAGAAACACCCCATAACAGGATATTACCACCTCCATGCAGGTTGATCCTTTTTCCAACTCAGTGATTCTGTTTTTTTATTTTTATCTGACATGTTGATGTTTTATTTATCTTTCACTTGGATGCTATAAGTTGCGCTGAGTAAATACAGTTGAATAAAACAAAAACTGTGTTCGTCTTTATTTCAGGCTGCAAAGCAACTAAATTATTTTAAGGGGGGGGAGATTCTTTTCTATACCCACCCACTGTAATTCAGCTTCTATGGTCAACAGAGAGAATGACTTCTTGGTTTGGTACCGAAAGCAATATCAATGATTACATTTTATTTCAATAGAGGATACATTAAAGTTCTAATCTATTCAATTCAATACTATTCTCCAGCACAGAGCAGCTATATTAATGCTTAGCACACCCAGACACAGTCTGAAGATTCTTCTCATTTTGGGGGGAAAAAATTGGTGGAATTCTACAGAATGGACGCTAAAATCTGTTAAACATTGATAACCGAAACCACAGTCAAATTTACTAAAATATTTCATAAACAAATTTGCAAAGGGTGGGGTCATGTGTAGAATAATAATGACAGAGGTTCCAACTTCAAACTGGAAATTAGGCTGGCCAATTAATTGAATTTTATTTTCAGTTATGATTTTTGTTTTACAACAATTATGAAAACAAGCTAATCAAGATAAAATGATTATTGTGCCACATTATGTTTCTCAATGATGTGGTTTAGATGTATTTTTTATTAGGCTGTGGATGTGCACAACCTGTACTTGTAAATAACCTGTACTGTTATTTGTTTTGTATTATATGTATGTATGTATGTATATATATATATATATACATATATATATATATATATATATATTATGGTTTTTCTCATAATCAAGCAGCCCTGTGGAACTGTACAAAGTTTTGCACGTGCAGATTTGGGCCTGCTGATCATCAATCCTGAACATACAGCCAAAGAAGATTTATAAAAGAGACAAACTCACCATTGGTCCCTATTGAAGGATGCCAGGAAGCGGGTGCCAGGTGGGACTGGTGCCATGCTTATATATGTGTATGTGTGTGTGTGTGTGTATTACAGCTGCTTAGTAAATCTCATAAAGATGTTAGGCAGGATGCCTTTAGATATATGTCCACAAGACCCATCTCTGACCTTGTGATTTGATCAGAAAGAAACATGATCCCATTATGAAGAGTCGCATTCGTGGCTTTATATCCTGAAGAAACATGAAGAAAGAATGAGGGACTAAAAGGGAGGTGAACAAACAAACCATCACTTAGTTAAATAGTATCATGTTCATTCTACTGCTCATTTCATCTTTTAGGAAATGACCGTGTCTGCCCGGTCAAAGCTCATAAATGTCGTGACTCATAAAGAGGCTGTTACTGTACAAGCAGATCCAGTGTCTATGAGAGACCGTTCATATCAAGATAATAAGCATTCAAATAAGACTCTGAGTAAATGTACTACATCATTATAATTGTGTGTGATCTATCGCAGATACTCTCGCTTTGTATGAAGGTCGTAAGAATGCGTTTTTTTTAATCAAATGTGATCGACAACACGCCGAGAGCGCATCTGTCAAAGATTTAAGCGCATATTTAAAAGATTTCACTGAAAACAGCCCTGTGGTCTCACCGCATCAGCCGACTCTCCGTTCAGCGCTGTCTCTAGCGACCAACCGTCGCTTTCACGAGCAGCGTGTGAAGAGCGAAGCAACGGGAGAGCGTTCCAACGGTGCGATTTCAGGAAGTAAAATATTTCAAAATAAAAGACCCCGTTTCGGCGTTAAAATTATCCTTGCAATATAACATTTAAATTAAATTTGTTATTTTAAAAATTAAATAAACTGGAAAAAAATTAATGAGCCCATGAGCCAAGACAAAACTGTAATGAGCCAATAACATTTATTACAGAGTGCACACAATAAATTACTGAATATATAATATCTCTTTATTATTATTATTATTATTATTATTATTATTATTGTTGTTGTTATTATTATTATTAAATGATAGACTCGTTCAGTAGAGCCTTGTGTGTCTGACTTCACACTGCTGTAAGGATGATGCTCCCTCCGTTGTCCGGTTGTTGTTTTCTTCTCTAACTTACTCAGTTATTTGAGTATCACGCAGCTGCAGATGAATATAATTTTGGGTCATTATGAATAGCATTATAGGGCGCAGTTACATTGCACAGCAATGTTCAATTGTTTACATACAGCTCGTCAGAATTAGCCTACTCAGCAAATCCGTTTCCTTGTAAGCGCTGTTGAAAGTCACATAGTCTATGTGCCGCACTGATAGCGATACGAGCGAAAGCAGCTGGCAAGAAAAGGTACGTGCTGAAAAGCGCTTATGCTGGGTGGGGAGGTTTGTGTCTTTAGCTTCAGCAATATTGTAGCTCTGGGAGAGAACCGGATTTGCTTCCTGTATTAAACTGCTGGCTGTTATTACTAGTGATGCTTGGGTATTTCTAGTCTTTTAGATTCCTGTACAAACGTTTTCTTTAGTAACCAGAGTTTAAATGCACAGCCATTGTTACTGTTGTTATACATTCCTTGGAATTAAATTGAAATTAAAGTACGTGAAATTAAATTTAAAATATAATGTGTTCATTATGGTGTTACTGGAGGAACCATAACTGTATTTTATAGTAACAGGTATTGTATTTTGGCGGAACCATTGCTTAGTGTGGTCCATTTTTTGTAAAGAAATATCGTTTTGCTACTTTCTATAACTAGTGTATAAAACCTAGTTCAGTACTTCAACATACAAAATGGAAATTAAATTATATATATATGTACATGTATATGTATATGTGTGTGGCTGTACATACACGTAGTTGT